AAAAGCAAGACGATGTTGATGACATGTACTAATTTGTTATGAGTTTCCCATTATTTTACAAAAGTGCCTTGGTGCCCTTCTCAAATTTTGAGAGTTGCCTTGGTGCCTTTCTATTTTAGAGAAAATTCAAGGCGATTTCTCACATGCCCTAAAAAAATTGCCTTGCCCTTCTCGTCGCTTAATTCGAGCCCTGAATATATGCATTCATTGTTGCACTCCTCAACCACTAGAGAATAGCAGACTGTGATAACCAGTGATAAAACTGATCATTCAGAGAAAAGTTGCTTAGTTTTCAGCCATCGAAAAGTAGTTATAACTATAGTTGTTTAGACATTGCCTATAAATATAGTGCGCGTAATACTATTACACGCCTTACATGGTGTATTACTAAAAATAATAAAGTTTCAATATGTGTACATTGACTTGTGTTTTCAATCCCTGTGTGGCCCCTTCGATCCCATGCAGTGCTCGAAATAAGAAAAAAAAATGCCAGGCATCAAATCAGGTTGTCCGCAAGAATTTCTGGTTGTCCCAAAAAATATCCCCAAATCTCCTATTTTCAATCACATAATAATACGCTGTGGCTATATATATATGCCCGGCAGCCGGGCACGGTCTTCGATTTCCTAAATGCCCGGCAGTTCCTAACCCTAACCCTAACCCTTGTTTACTTGAGATAATGCTGAAAATTAAAAACTGCCGGGCATTTAGGAAATCGAAGACAGTGCCCGGACATATAGCCACTCTGATAATAATATGATCAGAAAACAACCCAAAAACAGTGGCGTAGCCAGGATTTTTTAACAAAGGGGGCCAAAAACAGCGAACTGCGCAAAATAGTGGATGACTTAATATTTTAATGGCTCCTCCACCTCCCTCTCCACACCCTACGACTCCTCTACCTCTCAGTTCTGCAATCTTTGTTTTGGGCGCCATGCGAAAAGGCAACATTTTTGTTCATTGTTCTCTGCTCCCAAGATGTGTAATTGTTCAGTGGCGGGTCTAGGATTCCAAGGGGTGAAAAACAGGCGGGGGGTATAGGGGTCCTCCCACAGAAAATTTTGAAAATGTAGATCGCAGGAGATGGTATTTGCAGCACCTTTGAGTACATGTACAGCCTTCATTCTGACTACGACAATTCTCGATTTAGTAGAACAATTCTTGTTTTTAAACTCGGATCAACATGGATCCCCACTCCCCCCTCAACTACGCCACTGCCCAAAAACATACTGTAGGAGTGATATCTTTAAATTTATTTTATTTCAACCTGTAAACTTAATACTTTGCATGAATAAGGATGGTCATCGTGACTAGTTCATCTTCTTTTGCATGAGTCTTGACATTAGGAAAAACATTTTGGTTTATAAAAATGCAAGACATCGGGTTTCAGGGTATTCACTCATACTTAATGAGTCATACTGCAATAATATTATTATATATATCAATTGGTCCACTTATGATTAGATCATTCAGATGTATAATAATATTATTGCAGTGTGACTCATATGACTGGATACTAAATGACATTGGCTACAATTATCACTATATATACCCATTAAATAAAAATTCAAGCTGCAACTGAATATATCATGCAAAATGTATTCCAGGTCTCATTGAATCAATGCCAATGGAACACAGAACTTTGTCTAGAATCCAAACCTAAGCTCCTTTAATAATTGTCATTTGAAGAGAATCCGTTTTACAAGTATAAAAAAATAAAATTTTCTTTTCAACTCTAAGAAGTCTGTTTCAAAATTGATATCATTCTTAACAACTGGAACAGCTTGTTTTTTTTAAAATTTTTAATAAGTTTAAAATGGTTTGACATGGCTAGCTACAGAATACCTCTATTATCGCTGACACACTCGGTCCAGTTAGTCAATGTTTACCTCTCAGGCAGATTCGATTACATCACTGCCACAACAAATCTACCAGCAACAAGTCATTTGTCTCTTCAGAAAAAGCGTTTGTAGTGATCGATAAGTAGTTACCTGTTTACTCGCGGATGAAACTTGTCCACACAGTTAAATTTGTTGTTGCTGTGAACGTGAGTTGTGATACGCATACTTATTGGCCAAAGCACACATACTACACGGCATTGCTGACCAATGAGAAGCCGCAAAACAACACTAGCTATGGACGCAATGCAGGCCGATCGACAGCCGAAAAAAATTCAATTCGCGGTCGGAAAAATATAAATAAAGTGCGTTTTTCGTCACATTTTTCTTGGTTGTCCACCGGACAATGTCTCAGACTGATTAGGTTGTCCGGCGCAAATTCTGGTTGTCTCGGACAACCGGACAACGCTTATTTCGAGCACTGCATAACATGGTTATATACGACCCACAAATTAATGCTGAAAAACGGAGATATGAATCTATGCAGCATAGAATGCCAAGCTACATAAATGTGCAATAGAAATGGAAGAACGACTGCTTTAAATAGCGACAGCACTATAAGCGAGCACTAGTGATTTAGCCTGCCATGCTACAAAGATTCACTGCTAGTTCGCATATGTGGTAAACTAATCTGGGGTTCTAAACTAGGATTGAGACCCATTTCCCAACACTGCGAGTCGTACAACTCTGTTGCGGGAGCGAAGGACTACGAAGATAGAAACAAAATAGCTACATACGTCATTTTAAATAGTAAACAAAAACCTATGCCGTGATTAAATTGGTACGGTAAATATTACGGCCCTAGTCTAGTTAACATGTCCCACAATACTTCATTTCTACAATACAATTACAAATAGTCATACACAATGGGTCATGTCTTCTAGACTAGCTCCAATATTACGCCCAATGTATGCTAATTGCTAAATATCGTAAATTATTTTTCACTTGAGTGTGGCACACCTCATATTGTAGGTAGATGAGCCAAGTTCTACTCCTAGGCCAGAAAATGACCCGTCGAAATCAGACGCAAGCCCACCTGGGCCATCTACTTCACTGCCAGTGCCAGTCCCAGTGCCTGGGCTAGCAGTCGACATCACGACTCCGTTTCGATGTGTAGCTTACATGTAATGTCAATTATAGACAGTCCTAAATACGTCTTAAACTAGAAATCCCGCGTACGTGACGTCACGTACAGTAATTACTCCTGGTGACTACATATCCACATATAATAAAGCCGGCCGTGGCTACGCGACCGGTTCCGGGCGAGGAGCCGCTGGGCTACGCGTCCGGACATCCATCTCACCATAGATGATATATCTCACACAGCGATCTTGCGAGACGTACACGCATGATTGTGCAATATTTGTTCATTGTTTTATAATTCATAATAGCTGTGGTGAAATGTATCTATAAATGTATCTGTTGCAGGATCTAACTTGTTTATTCGTGACATTATGTCAGGCTCTATTTAGAATGGGAAATACGAAACTGTTCAATTTATTAGTGTCAAGTTGAACACAAATATATGCATTCATTGTTGCACTCCTCAACCACTAGAGAATAGCAGACTGTGATAACCAGTGATAAAACTGATCATTCAGAGAAAAGTTGCTTAGTTTTCAGCCATCGAAAAGTAGTTATAACTATAGTTGTTTAGACATTGCCTATAAATATAGTGCGCGTAATACTATTACATGCCTTACATGGTGTATTACTAAAAATAATAAAGTTTCAATATGTGTACATTGACTTGTGTTTTCAATCCCTGTGTGGCACTCCAATCCCATGCAGTGCTCGAAATAAGAAAAAAAAATGCCAGGCATCAAATCAGGTTGTCCGCAACAATTTCTGGTTGTCCCAAAAAATATCCCCAAATCCCCTATTTTCAATCACATAATAATACGCTGTGGCTATATATATATGCCCGGCAGCCGGGCACGGTCTTCGATTTCCTAAATGCCCGGCAGTTCCTAACCCTAACCCTTGTTTACTTGAGATAACGCTGAAAATTAAAAACTGCCGGGCATTTAGGAAATAGAAGACAGTGCCCGGACATATAGCCACTCTGATAATAATATGATCAGAAAACACCCAAAAACAGTGGCGTAGCCAGGATTTTTTAACAAACGGGGCCAAAAACAGCGAACTGCGCAAAATAGTGGATGACTTAATATTTTAATGGCTCCTCAACCTCCCTCTCCACACCCTACGGCTCCTATACCTCTCAGTTCTGCAATCTTTGTTTTGGGCGCCATGCGAAAAGGCGACATTTTTGTTCATTGTTCTCTGCTCCCAAGATGTATAATTGTTCAGTGGCGGGTCTAGGATTCCAAGGAGGGGGTGAAAAACAGGCGGGGGGTATGGGGGTCCTCCCACAGAAAATTTTGAAAATGTAGATCGCAGGAGATGGTATTTGCGGCACCTTTGAGTACATGTACAGCCTTCATTCTGACTACAACAATTCTCGTTTTAGTAGAACAATTCTTGTTTTTAAACTCGGATCAACATGGATCCCCACTCCCCCCTCAACTACGCCACTGCCCAAAAACATACTGTAGGAGTGATATCTTTAAATTTATTTTATTTCAACCTGTAAACTTAATACTTTGCATGAATAAGGATGGTCATCGTGACTAGTTCATCTTCTTTTGCATGAGTCTTGACATTAGGAAAAACATTTTGGTTTATAAAAATGCAAGACATCGGGTTTCAGGGTATTCACTCATACTTAATGAGTCATACTGCAATAATATTAATAT